GCTCTGCTGAACAGAGGGCCCTGGGAGACAACTCTTGAAATCATGCTTTGAGAAACACCTAAAGTACACACAACCTTTTGTCAGGATTCTTAAGGTAATTGGATATTGCAAGTTGATATAATTTTGTGTTTATATGATGATCAAATGTACATTTTTCTAGACAGATGGTATTTATCTTTCATCAGATTTTCTGACACTCAAAAAGAAAGAGAGTCAATCCATACAACCTTAACTGAATTTTCTAATATGGTCCATTTGCCACATTTCAAGTGTTCTGTGGTCTCATGTGGTAGTGGCTGCTGTGTTAGTGCACACACATAAAATTTCTTTGTCACAGAAAGTTCTATGGATGGTGCTGACTTACAGAAATGGTGTTTTTCTCTATAAAAGTTCTGTAAGAAGGCTTGGATATCAGATACCCACATTCAAATTTCTTTTGGTGCTGTGGAACACCACAGATATGCTTAGAAGATGCATATCTGAACATGCTGACTACCACCAGATGCTAGTAACCAAATGAGGCTTTTCTTTAGCTGGTTGGCATTCTACCAGCACAAATTGCTATCAAGAAAAAGATGGTGGGTGATATGAATTATTGAATGCCCTCATTATATTTGGGAAGGCTTCAGAAAAGCATGAAAAGAACAGCAGAAAAGGCTGGATTAAAATTATCAGGGTTCATCATTGACAAAGACCTAGTTTCTCTCTTTTTTCCTTTTACATGAGGCTAGTAGAATCCCCCACAAGGTCTTCAAGGACTGAGGATTACATGGTGATATAGGGAATTTGGGCAGTTCTTTCCTCTTTATGAAGATTAAATTTCTATTCCTATAACTGTAGAAAGAGTTCTGCCCTGAATGAACTGTCAACTACTCTTAGGAGCACAGCAAAAGAGAATAGACTCAATAGTCCTGTCCATGATCATTCAGAGAGGCAGCATTGCCTGATGAGTAAGACTGGACTTTGATATCAGACCAGAGTTGAGATGTAGACTTTTCCCCTACAAACCATGCAATTGTGGATACACTGTTTAGCTTCTCCATGCCTCTATTCTGTTATCTGGAAAAACGGAACTTATCTCCCAAGGCCACAGCAAAGACAACAATACTATGATCCAAATAAGCATGAAGTGCAGGGTTTAGCTTGTAGCCAGCCCTGAACAAGCAGGAGCTTTTAGTCTCTTTCATAGTCTTCATGTTTCCTAATTCCTTACTGGGAATGCCCTCTGTTTTGGGTTTTGGATACCCTGGGTTTTTTATTACTGTGAACACCAATTTTTCTTTTCTTTTCTTTTTTTTTTTTTTTTTTTTTGAGAGAGAGAGAGAGGGAGGGAGAGGGAGAAAACAAGTGCAGGAGGGGCAGAGGCAGAAGGGCACAGAGGATCCAAAGTGGGCTCTGTACTGACAGCAGAAAGGCCGACACGGGGCTCAAACTCACAAACTGTGAGATCATGACTTGATCCGGATGGAGTAAGATGCTTAACTGAGCCAAGCAGACGCCCTGTGAATACCTATTTCTTAATGGCTGCTCCCAGCCGAGCCTTTCCAAAAATTCTTCCTGATTTATGAGTCACAAACTAAAGAGGCTAAGATCTGTGGTATTACATGTAAGGAAAGAGGTGGGGCAGCTACTTGTACTGAGAATTATGCCAGGTGTTTCATTAATTGTTAAGATCACCGTATCCATCACAGTGTTATATGTAATAGGGAAACTGGGAACAATCTAAAAGCCTGACAGAACACTGGAACATTGGCTTTGACAAATCATTTCAAAGTAATGTCTCCCATTAATATTTGTTTACATGCATAAATGATTATTACATTGTATGAGGTGGAAAAATCTGAGCCAAACACCCCTCTGTCCCAGCATCCCCTAGAGACACTTGTGTAAATGCATGCCAGGAGGCATGTTGAGAATATTCAGTTATATGGGAATGCAAGCTGGTGCAGCCACTCTGGAAAACAGTATGGAGGTTCCTCAAAAAACTAAAAATAGAACTACCCTACGACCCAGCAATTGCACTACTAGGCACTTATCCAAGGGATACAGGTGTGCTGTTTCGAAGGGACACATGCACCCCCATGTTTATAGCAGCACTATCCACAATAGCCAAAGTATGGAAACAGCCCAAATGTCCATCGATGGATGAATGGATAAAGAAGATGTGGTGTATATATACAATGGAGTATTACTCGACAATCAAAAAGAATGAAATCCTGCCATTTGCAACTACGTGGGTGGAACTGGAGGGGATTATGCTAAGTGAAATTAGTCAGTCAGAGAAAGACAAAAATCATATGACTTCACTCATATGAGGACTTTAAGAGACAAAACAGAGGAACATTAAGGGAAGGGAAACAAAAATAATATAAAAACAGGGAGGGGGACAAAACAGGAGACTCATAAATATGGAGAACAAACTGAGGGTTACTGGAGGGGTTGTGGGAAGCCGGGATGGGCTAAATGGGTAAGGGGCACTAAGGAATCTACTCCTGAAATCACTGTTGCACTACATGCTAACTAATTTGGATGTAAATTTAAAAAAAATTTTAAATAAAATTTTAAAAATTAATTAATTAATTAACATTTTGTAATACCAAAAAAAAAAAAAAAAAAAGAAGAAGAAGAAGAAATTCTATTTCTGTAACAGTTACAGGATGATTCAAATTATCTAACTTATGCTGGATGAACTGTATGTAGTACCTTATGCTTTTTAGGGAATAGTCCATTTTATGTAAGTTGTCAAACATATGTGTGAAGAGTTTTTCACAGTATTCTCTTTACCCTTTTAATGTCTTCAGGGTCTATAATCAAGTTCCCTGTTAAATTTTTGCTATTAGTAATTTGTGTTTTATCTCTTCTTTGTCAACCTTGCAAGAAGTTTATCAAATACATTGATCTTTATGAAGAAAAAAAAAAAAGAATATACAGTCATAGCTCCAAACTACAAACATTTCAGATGTCCATTAACAAGACCATGGACAAATAATGGTATATTCACACACAGAATGTTACAAGGATAATAAAAACAAATTTTTAAACTGTAACTCTATGAAACAACGTGATGAATTTTACAAGGATAATATGAAATGAAAACAGCAAAGTTCAAAACTGATTCTATTTACATAAAGGTCAAAACAGAGAAATTATAATTGTCTTGTTTAAGAGGATAAAGTACAAGGAAAAGCAAGGAACCACTTACCATGGCAGTTTAAGTAACTGAGTAACTAAGGTGGGGCGAGACTATGGGAGGCGGGGGACACTGAAACAGCTCTGACAAGGTCCTGGTTTTGTTTTGTTTTGAAGTGGTAGTTCCTATTTATATTACTTCTTAAATTGTACCTTCATGCCCTTATTATAATTTCATAATATAAAATGTTTTTCAATAAAGAAAAGGGAAAACAAGCACAAATCTATACTTTCCAATGTGATCTCAATTATAGAGATTTCTGCATGCATGGGGGAGAAAAGATCAACAGTGGTTTTCTCTGGGCAGCAAAATGTAAAGGGATCTATATTGTTTTCCTTAGAGATTTCGTATTTTTCAAATTTTTAATAATGAACAGTACTACTTTTATAATAAGAATAGGGGCGACCGGGTCACTCAATATGTTAAGCATCTGACTTCCCCCTCAGGTCTTGATCTCATGGTTCATGGGTGTGAGCCCCCGCCTCTGGCTCTGTGCTGACAGAGCCTGGAGCCTGCTTCAGATTCTGTCTCCCTTTCTCTCTGCCCCTCCCCCGCTCACACTGTGTCTCTCCCTCTCTCTCAAAAATAAATAAACATTAAAAAAAAAAAAAAGAATAAAAAGCAAAACTATCAACCGCTCAGTTCTGGCTCTTCAATTTACATCTCAGCATGGAATCACTTTGAGAAAGAAAAATTTCTCTTCTCCTTTCCAGGGAGAAATTGGGAGAGAGGGAGAGTCACACAGTTAAAATTCTACTACTACAGGTTGGTCATCTGTGTCAATGACGAGGCCTTGGGTAGCTCACTCAATGGAAATCAACAAAGATACTTCCTAGATTATCCTAGAACTCCTATAACTCCCTGCCTGTTCTTTCAAAGTCTAGAAAATGAGCCAGAAACTGAGCAAGAAGAAAGAGGTATTGGGATTAACTACCACTTTTTAACTCATCATTGTCATAACATTAATTAATGTTGCAGGCATTAATCCTACCCTAACATTCACAAGAATTCAATAAAGTAGATACATATTTGACACTGATATTCTAGGGCTCAGAGGGGTGGAAGGATTTAGCCAGATGTCTGAATGCATTTCAGTGGCATTTTGGCCATGGTTTACATTTACTTGAGTTTTCTCATCTATTGTTTACACTCACAAAAATCATGTAAAATAGTTCAGAGTAGTTGTGTGATTTGCCCAAGGACACACAGCTATCAAGAAGCTATAATTTTTAATAACTTGTTTCTTTTTGTCTTGAGGGGGTAATATTTTTCCTGTACCCCAACTAAATGCCAATATATCTATGTTCTCCCATACTTTTAGTTATGACATCTAGGAAATTATCTAATTATAATCTCCTGTAAGAAGCAATGAAGATGTTGAACATGACACAGAGGCTGCAAAAATGTTATGTCCCTAAATCCAGTGGAGTGAGCAGGCAGGTACAATCCAGAAATAGCATTCAAGTTTTCTCTTTTTTTTTTTGCAACAGAGATGAGATTAAGGTATAAGAGTAAGGTTTAAGATCTTGTGGGTTAGTAATTGTCTGATTCCCCTATCGACCTCATCTCTCAGGTCTCCAGGGTTCGCTCTTCTTTTTCTACTTTGCCCTAAGGGAGTTAACCTTCGCAGCTGCCTTCAAGGACCCTACTTTCCGGCTCCCAGTCCTGAGGAGAACACTTCCTCCTTGGCTTCTCCCGGCAAACCTCGAGCAGAATCTCCCAGCCCTTGAGTCTTCTCAGGGTTAAAGCTGCTAAATATCAAGGCTACCCAGGAGTGAGTGCTTTCTCAACACCGTCTTGGAAGGTGGGTCACTATTTTGGCAGAAGGGAGAGGGCAGTGGAATTCGTTCTGAGTAGGGACGGTTACGCAAAATGCAAGGAGGAAGAGGAAGCTGATAGGGGAATTGGTGAGTCAGAAGAGAAAAGGACGACTTGGCTAGCAGTGAGCCTCTCTAAAGCGGTGGAGAAGCCTAAGCCATTATCAAGGTAAGAAGAGAGTTTTCTCTGGATCACCTCCACAGCAGAGCCACTGTCCTGGGGCTCCTGGAGCGGAGTATCAGAAAACCTCCGACAGCTTTGCTGGGGATTTTAATGGCAATGGGAGAAGAGGGGGTTGTGGAGGGAGACTAAATCAGAATCACCTGGAAAATCTCCTCGAAAAAGCACAAGCTGCTTGCCAGCACCTTCCTCAACCCCACGCAGCTCCATTCCTGAAAGGATCTGGAAAAGCCTAGAATGCCAGTAGGGCTGTCCTGATAGATGTTTTGTAGATGGTCCCCTAATGCATCTAACTTGTTCAGATCCTGGCTTCTGAGCTCAAGTTTCTATACTTCCTGTGGCTTCTCTGATCAGGTGCTGGAGCGTGGCAGGCAGGAGGTTCAGAGAGCTGTAGATTTTCTCTAGCTCAAGTGAGGTGTGATGTGATAATTGAAAGCTCTCAGACCTGAGACTCAAAAGACCTGGGGTCTGATTCAGGTAGAGCTATTTCCACCATGGAATCAATCAATTAAAGTTCAGCTTACTTATTCTGAAAAATATGTGTGTGGCTTATCACTGTCCTGTATATCTAGTTGGATTGTTGACAAATGGGGTTTCAAAGTTGTGGAGTGCTACTATTCAGATGTAAAATAGGATTAAGTTAATAAGATTAAGTTATGAAGCCAGCACATCAGCCAGAGTAGAAGAGACTTGTGTCTTGTTTGGACTCAGACAAGTCTAGAACTTCTAGTTGGAATTGAAACACATTTATATGTGCCAAATAAAAATATCTTGCCCCATCTTCCTTACCCGGATCAATTAGGGCATCTCAAACAGGAAAAACTACTCTACAAATGTTCGTCATTCAGTCATCACTCAGTAGATGTTTCTTGAGTGCCTACTATGTCCGGACACTACTGTTGGCACTGGAGTCACAGCAATGGTGAGGACCCGGGTCCAGAACTCTTTGTACTTTAGTCTGGTTAGCGTTTGTTATTATAAGGTCACCTTGCCTAGGTGCTTACCTCCATGGTTTTCCTGGGTTTATGGCTATATGTGTGGATGCCACTTTCCCCAAGCCAGCTCTCATCTCTCGGTTTGTGAAAATATTTCATGCCATCTTTAATTTCGGGTTATGGGAGCATAATCTCACAGGGGAATCTAAGTTAGGAATGTGCCAATGGGTGGAATCCAGGGCTCTTAAATTGCCATCTGTTAATTTTTTCCTCAGAATTCTTCATTTTGTTTCTAAAAGGCTACACAGTACCCATTTGGGGGTTATCCACTATTCGGCCCTCTGGAATCAGGCTGAGGTCATCCACCCTGGCGCCTCATGGTCCCTGAGCCTGACATGGGTGCTCCCTCTTGGGGGACAGTGATGGTAGGATGTGATGAGGGTTTTCTCCTTTTTTTCTTCTTTGCCTGGGCTAGTTAGACAAGATAAGTAGTCTGAGTGGTCTCATGCCCTCCAATATAGTTTTTATTTCTTCTTTAAAAATTTTTTTTTGTGGGCGCAGCTGGGTGGCTCAGTTGATTGAGCATCCAACTTCTGCTCAGGTCATGATTTCACTGTTTGTAGGTTCAAGCCCCGCATCAGGCTCTGTGCTGACAGCTCAGAGCCTGGAGTCTGCTTCGGATTCTGTGTCTCCCTCTCTCTCTACCCCTCCCATCCTTGCTCTCTCTCTCTCTCTCTCTCAATCAAAAATAAAATAAAACATTAAAAAAATTTTAATTTTTTTAATGTTCATTTCTTTTTTTTTTTTTAATGTTTATTTATTTTTGAGACAGAGAAAGACAGAGTGTGAGCAGGGGAGGGGCAGAGAAAGAGGGAGACACAGAATCCAAAGCAGGTTCCAGGCTCTGAGCTGTCAGCACAGAGCCCGATGCAGGGCTTGAACCCACGGATTGTGAGATCACGACCTGAGCCGAAGTCGGATGCTTAACTGACTGAGCCACCCAGGTGCCCCATTAATGTTCATTTATTTTTGGTAAATTTGAGCAGGCCCTGTGCTGACAGCAGGGAGCCTGATGTGGGGCTCAAACACATGAACTGTGAGGTCATGATCTGAGCCAAAGTTGGAGGCTTAGCCACCCAGGCACCTCAGGTTTTATTCCTTATTAATAAATATTTTTAAAAAATAATGTTCATGAGGGGCACCTGGGTGGCTCCATCAGTTGGGTGTCTGACTCCCTCACGTCATGATCTTGTGATGATCTCGTGATTCGGTTCATGAGTTCGAGCCCCACATTGGGCTCTGAACTGTCAGCACCAAGTGTCTCCCTCTCTCTCTCTGCCCCTCCCCCACTCATGCTCTCTCTCTCAAAAATAAATAAACTTTTATTTTTTATTTTTTTTCAATATATGAAATTTATTGTCAAATTGGTTTCCATACAATGCCCAGTGCTCATCCCAAAATGTGCCCTCCTCAATAGCCATCACCCACCCTTCCCTCCCTCCCTCCCACCTCCCATCAACCCTCAGTTCTCAGTTTTTAAGAGTCTCTTCTTATGCTTTGGCTCTCTGCCACTCTAACCTCTTTTTTTTTTTTTTCTTCCCCTCCCCCATGGGTTTCTGTTAAGTTTCTCAGGATCCACATAAGAGTGAAAACATATGGTATCTGTCTTTCTCTGAATAAATTTTTAAAAATTAAAAAAAACCTAATGTTTATAATTTTTTTTCTAGTTTTCATTAATACACATTCAGTGTAGAAACTACTTTTTTTTGGAGTAAGGTTAACTGTACCATATTATCAAACCTATGCCTCTGACTTTCTTAATATCTTGCTCCATGTAATTGAGGTAGTATTGGTTCTGTGCTCAATACTCAATGGAATCACTTACACTTTATTTTATTATTTTTTGTATTTCACCTAAATTTCAGTAACTGATACTAAAGAGACATCTGTGTGCATTTTAAAGGACAAGTTTCTTTCTCTCAGTGAATCCCACTCAGTTATCTGCTTTCCAGCAATGACTATGCCTCACCCCATATGCAACTATTATTTATTCAACAAGTGTTTAAAGAGCCTTAAGCAGTTATAAGTTTGATGTACCTGTAAATAAGATAAGATATACCATTTACCCTTAAGTTACAGCGGCCCAGTGGGAGAGACATTCACCTACAGTTATTTAAAGTGAGAGATGGATGGTACTGGAAAGTTTGGGGAACAACTAAATCTCAGGAAGAAGGGCTTCTAAATAACAAGGCAACTTTGAAAGACCTGAAAGTAAAGTATGGAGCCTCAAGTGCCAAAAAGGAGGGGACTGACGGGGGGTCAGAGATCAGATCATGAAGGACTCTGGGGTACAAGACTTGGGGATTTTGATTTATTCCTATATGTACTGGAAAGTTATTGAAGGATTTCAAGGAGAGGAGTGATAGATTTGTGCTTTAAAATGATAGTTTTTGGCAGCAGTGGATGATGGAGAATAGAAACAGAAGACAGAGGCTACTTACTATCAAAGACCAGGCTAGCGATGAGCAGACCTCAGATTCTGACAACAGCAAGGGTGGAATTTGAGAAACTGAACAGCCAGGAAAGAACACTTGGAAAGGTGGACTAGGGTCTCTGGAATGGAGAGATCTCATGCCATACACTTCTCACAAATGCCTACCAGCTCCAAGGACTACAGAAGAGGTTGGTACAGGACAGTGGGGGAGAGGCGGTGGTTAGATTAGAGATTGCCATAAAAAACTTGAGTTGCCCTTTCTTCATGGAGCCATATCTGCTCACTTCTCCCAGGCCCTCAAGCCATCTCTACGGCTGATTACAGTCTCTGCAGAAATGAGCTTTGCCTACAGTATTCCCTGGCTGTCCTGGCTAGACCCAACACAGTGACAAGAGATGGGACTCACTCTATGAAAGCATATTTTCTTTCTGGCCAGGGTGAGTGCTCATGGTAAAAAAAAAAAAAAGAAGAGAACAGAATCAAAGGGTTTCCATGGGAATTCCTGAGAACCATGGATAACTAAAGCCTGGGGACAACTGGGGACAGAGTTAGAAGCCCTGGCTCCAGCTCTGAGAGAGAATGGGCATGAGGCCAGGAGCTACTGGCAGGCAAGGAGGACTCAGGGCCATTGATCCCACTCAGGATACTGAGTTGGCCCAAAGCCAGCATGGGGGAGAGAGAGTATTAACTTTGAAAAGTCTACATCCCTAATGCTTAGGAGATGCTAGCTTTTTCTTGAGTTGATTATAGGCCCTAGAGGCTCTGCATATAACTTTCTATCAGTTTCCTTATAAGTGTGCATGGGTCAAATTCTTCCCTTCTTTACTTTTTGTCTCTTTTGCTGTGCTGTTTCCTATCTTTTTTCCAATTTTCCTTCATACTCACATTACCTCTGGGAGAAGATATCTTGCTAACGTCATTTCCTCAGTCTTTGGGGGTGGGGGCAGACGGGGGCATTCTTGGCCATTATTAATAATAGCCTAGTTTTTAATCATTTCTTCTTGGGCTCAAGTTTAAAACACCTAAGCGTATATCTTAGCTGGTCCTGTTATAACCTTCAGGGCCAATAAAGGAATTACTGCTGATTGACATTTCCCTGGCATATGGCACGGTGATTTGGGCCATGAAGGAGACATGATCTTCACCGGATCCTTCTGGCACACAAGGAGGAAATATACTGTTGTAATGAATGGAAGAGAAGAGTTTCTGTGCCCCTGCCACACAAGGTTTGGCTTGGGTAAATACGCACTTCCCAGAAGGTTCAGGGGACTTCCAAGGGAAGCCCACGTGCTGGCAAAGCACGCTCCATCTCTTCAGGAAGCAAGTTATAAACTTCAAGAGTCACATTTGTGGCTGTCCAATTCCTCCTCTAAAATCTACCCTCTAGAATCTCTGCAGCTCTGGATATACAGGATGGTTTATGATCAGTATGAAAGCCATCTGGGTGACAGATATCAAAGCTATACACTTCCATATTTTTTGACTCCACAATCCCATTTCTGGGGATTTAGCTTACATACACATGTAATGATGTATGAACATAAAGGTCACTACTGAAGTTTTTGAAATGACAAAAAAAGCTGGGAACAATCCAAAAGCCTAACCGCAAGGAAACTAGTTAAATAAATCGTGGTACATGCATATAACAGAAATCTATGTAGTGGTAAAAAGGAATGAGGAAATGCTTTATGTGCTACCATGGAAAGTTCAGCAAAACATAAAGTTTATAAAGCAAGGTGTGGAGGGACGCCTGGGTGGCTCAGTCAGTTAAGCATCCAACTTCGGCTCAGGTCATGATTTCACAGTTTGTGGATTTGAGCCCAGCTTCGGGCTCTGTGCTGACAGCTCAGGGCCTGGAGCCTGCTTTGGATTCTATGTCTCCTTCCCTCGCTGTGTGCTCCTCCCCTGCTCATGCTCTGTTTTTCTCTGGCTCAAAAATGAATAAACGTTAAAAAAAATTTTTTTAAAGCAAGGTGTGTATAACTTGCTACTTTTTCTGTTATAAAGGGGAGGAGGGGAATTAAGACTACATATACATGTGCAAAGACAAAAAATGAACCCAGTTGCTACCTGGGGGCAAGTAGGGAAATCGGCAGATAGGGGACGTGTATTGGAAGTAGACTTTCACGGTACAGTAATGACAAAACACCAGCTGGTAGATTAATCCTAGCTTTGAGCAGGGGCGCTTGGGTGGCTCCATTAGTTGAGTGTCTGACTTCAGCTCAGGTCACGATCTCACAGTTGTGAGTTTGAGCCCCATGTCAGGCTCTGTGCTGACAGCTCAGTATAATGAGTTACCATCTTAAGAATTCAAAAGAAAGAATTGTAGATTTCTTTGCTGCCACTTGAAACTTTTGCAAAAGAAAGCTCCTGGATGGCTCTGTCCGTTAAGCATCTGACTGTCAATTTTAAGTCAGGTCAAGATCTCAGGTCGTGGGGTGCCTGGGTGGCTCAGTCGGTTGAGTGTTCGACTTCGGTTCAGGTCATAATCTCACGGTTTGTGGGTTCAAGCCCCGTGTAGGGCTCTGTGTCGACAACTTGGAGCCTGATGCCTGCTTCGGATTCTGTGTCTCCCTCTCTCTCTGCCCCTCTGCTGCTCACGCTCTGTCTCTCTCTCAAATAAGTAAACATTAAAAAAAAAAATTAAAAAAAAATCCTATCCATGAGCAGAAAAGAGGTTACTGATGCAGCAACTGGTAAAATTCTTAGGTGTTCTTTCCCCCAGGAAAATACTGTGACCCATTGTCAAGGTATGTCATTACCCCTGTTCACAAAGAGCTCTAGCTGTTTTCTAATTTATGACTATAGGCTTCATCCACAGACACAGATGCTTGTCATAGTATTTCCCCTTGCTGTTAAAGACTTGGACTAGGACAGGCTCCGGCTGGCAAGCACCCGCCTTATTGCTCTCCTGCATGCGGAATTGTAGGAAGCCTTCTTTTAAATTCTAAGTCTGTGGATTTAATGTCCATGATAATGATACTTCTTAAAACAGTTTGAACCATGTGATTATTGCTTATTAAAAACTTTTTTAAAATTAGGGATAAGACCTGTCACCAGGAAACCAGCAAACCCTAAATCCAGCTCCAATTACTGTTTAGAAATACATTTTCTTTGTTAAAACTGGAAGGCAGAATATCTTAGGTATGTAGTGATATGTAAATTAGCACCTTGTGGGTGCCTGGCTGGCTCAGTCTGTGGAGTAAGCAACTCTTGACCTCAGGGTTGTGAGTTTGAGTCCCACATTGGGCATAGAGATTATTTAAAAATATAATCTTTGGGGTGCCTGGGTAGCTCAGTCAGTTGGGTGTCTAACTCTTGATTTTGGCTCAGGTCGTTATCTCACAGTTTATGGGCTCAAGCCCTGGGTTGGGCTCTGTGCTGACAGTGAGGAGCCTGCTTGGGATTCTATCTCTCTCTGCCCCTTCTCTGCTCACACTTGCTCTCTCTCTCTCAAAAATAAACATTAAACAAACAAACAAAATTTAATAAATAACCTTTAAAAAAATAAAAATAAAAATTTTAAAAAACAAAAATTAGTACCTTGCTACTATTAATATTTTACACTATGTGAAATAGCTATTCTATCTCTCAATAGTTATTTATGCTAGGAAGTCACCCAAAATGATGATCCAGATTCATCTTAACCCATAACACTAACATATATATATGTTATATAAAAATAATGTTATATATATTATTATATATAAAATTATAAAATATATGTTATATAAAATATATAAACATATTTTATATATGTTACATATAAATATATAAACATATATGTTATATACGTTATATACAATTATAAAATGTATGTTATATAAAAATAAAAATTATATATAATTATATATAAGTATATATATAAGTATATATAATATATATTATATAATTATATATATTTTATATTATATAATTATATATGATATTATATATTATATATTATATATATTTTATATATAAAATTTATATATATTATATATGTATATATAAATATATATATAAAATTAAAAATTATATATAAAATATATAAAATTATATATATATAATTTTTATTTTTTTTAGAGAGTGAGTGTGTGCACACAAGAGGGGCAGAGGTATCTTAAGTAGGCTCCACACTCAGCACAGAGCCTGACATGGGGCTCATTCCCATGACCCTGGGAGCATGACCTGAGCCAAAATCAAGAGTTGGGCGCTCAACCAGCTAAGCCACCCACCTGGGCACTCCCATGGTCTTTTCATACAAAGTGAGCCTTGATTATAAAGGGATTAAGTTGAGGGTTGCCACCAGTATATATGAGCCTTAGTGTGAATTACTAAGTGGAACTAATTTCTCTAGATATTTAACATCTAACAGCTGGAAAATCATCCTGACATTCTTATTCTGTTGGACTAAGATACTTTACTGTCACCTACCAGAACATTGTTTTTTAAAGTTTACTTATTCATTCTGAGAGGCTGAGAGAGAACAGGGGAGGGGCAGAGACAGAGAATCTCAAGCAGGCTCTGTGTTGTAAGTGCAGAGCCCGACAAGGGGCTCAATCCCACAAACTATGAGATCATGACCTGAGCCAAAATCAAGAGTAGGACACTTAACCGACTGAGCCACCCAGGTGTCCCTCAGAGTTTTAAAGATTTTTTTTTTATTTTTAAATAATTTTAAATAATAATTTTAAATAATAAATATCTTAAAGTTCTAATGAGATGGCATTCCCTAGGGTTGTACAGTATACAACCTGGCAATCTATACTGAGTAGCCCTGATTAGGTTGTGTCAAGCAGTTAAATATTCCCCCAAGCAGCAGCACAGTGGCTAACAGGTCATGGCTCTTAGGTTGGCTTGCCACAACTTCCATAGGGTTGGCTATTAAAGAGACAACACTTCGAGACATATAGATTCAGATGTAAGGTCAGCATTGGGTCACTTCCTTATGTCCGTAGTCCCACAGGATGAGACCAAGCCAGAGGGGATCAGATGACAGGTGCCATGGACACTTGGCTCTGCCACTGAGGAGACAACTCCAAGCTCAAGCCAAGCACTTTTATAGCCTGCAACCATACTGTTCAGGGGACTGAAAGTCCTGTGCTTGCTTGAGATGAAGGAAGGTAATGAGAAATGGCCTATGGCAACCTCCCTCAAGATAGGGGAGGTGGGTGAGGTAATTCTTCATAAGTCAGCTGATCTCCCTTAGTTTCAGAAGGACATTTAACCAAAACTTGGGTCAGACTATGGTTAAGCTTTACCTAAGTGGCCTGTGTAGAGACATGCGTATCACCAAGGTGCCAGGGTGGAGCTGTTCCTCTACATTGATGAAATATGACTGAGCTCAGTCATTTTTGGTAGGTCACTGGAAAAGAAAGACCATCAGGGAGGAAGTAAAGAGCCTAAGATAAATAGAACTTACTGACACACTAACTGCAAGGGATAGGGATTGATTCAGAGAAGGATCTGTGCAGTTGGTTGTTAGAAATTTCCAGCACTCTAGCTGCTCCTTGCTCAGGGTTAGGGAATAAAAGCAGATGGAAGGCAGACACCAAAACAGAAGCCTAACACAGCCCTTCTGCTTGTTCCTTAAGGTCCTCCACTTCAGCATGATGCTGCCAAAAAAAATGAGGCCACTGCTGTTCCTGGTTTCCCAGATGGCCATCTTTGCTCTATTATTCCATCTATATGGCCACAACTTCAACTCCCTGTCCACGAAGGAGGAGCCCAAGCCCATGCATGTGCTGGTCCTGTCTTCCTGGCGCTCTGGCTCCTCTTTTGTGGGACAGCTTTTTGGGCAACACCCGGATGTCTTCTACCTGATGGAACCTGCCTGGCACATCTGGATGACCTTCACAGAGAGCACTGCCTGGAGGCTGCATATGGCGGTCAGGGATCTGATACGTGCCATTTTTCTGTGTGACATGAGTGTCTTTGATGCCTACATGAAACCTGGTCCTCGGAGACAGTCCAGTCTCTTCCAGTGGGAGAGCAGCCGGGCCCTGTGTTCCCCGCCTGCCTGCAATGTGTTCTCGCGGGATATGATCATACCTCAGGCTCACTGCAAACTTCTGTGCAGTAAACAGCCTTTCGAGGTGGTAGAGAAGGCCTGTCGCTCCTATAGCCACGTGGTGCTCAAGGAGGTACGCTTCTTCAATCTGCAAGTGCTCTACCCACTGCTGAGAGACCCTTCCCTCAATCTGCACATCGTGCACCTGGTGCGGGACCCCCGGGCAGTGTTCCGTTCTCGAGAACACACCACAGAGGAACTCATGACTGACAGCCGCATTGTGATGGGGCAGCAGGGGGAGAAACTCAAGAAGGAGGACCAGCCCTACTATGTGATGCAGGTCATCTGCCAAAGCCAGATGGAGATCTACAAGGCTGTGCAGTCCTTGCCCACAGCTCTGAGGCAACGCTACATGCTCATACGCTATGAGGACCTGGTCCGGGACCCCCTTGGCCGTACTGACCAAATGTATAAATTTGTGGGGTTGAAATTCTTGCCCCAGCTCCAGACCTGGGTGTACAACAGCACTCGAGGCAAGGGCATGGGTAGTCATGCCTTCCACACTAATGCCAGGAATGCCCTCAACGTCTCTCAGGCCTGGCGCTGGACCTTGCCTTATGCAAAGGTTTCTCGACTTCAAAAAGTCTGCAATGATACCATGACTTTGCTGGGCTACCACCTTGTCAGATCTGAGCAAGAGCAGAGAAACCTGTCACTGGATCTTCTGTCTACCTAGACCCTCTCCAAGTAAGTCTGCCAAGAGGGTTGAGGAGACTCTGTCCCCACTTGGCACCAGCCTCAGCCACATTAACTGAAGTCTTCTGAGCCTTAATTACATTTCTATCAGTGTACATGTGAGCATGGGTTGTGTCCACACATGTTCAAGCTAGGAGATCTCTGTCTCTACTCATGCCAAGAAGAGATTCAGGAACCTATATGAGCAGCACATTACACTGCTGAAAAAGAAGTATCACCTTTCTTCTCTTCTTGGCCCTCCTATCTGTGTATACCTCAAAGACTTTGGGGCCTGGGGCCCTATTTGACACCACACAGTATCAGTGGAGTAAATCCATAAACTTCTCTGTCCCCAGCGGGACAGGAAAACCAGTGAAATGGGTCTTCTGCCAAAGAGCCCACCAGAATATTCCACAGGGATATGAACTCTGAGCCCATGGAGCTTCTGGTGGATTCAAAAAGGGAACAGAGAACAGGGTTGGATGCTTACTGGTGAGGCTGGCCATCACAGCTATCAGTTGTCACAAATACAAAGATCTCTGCACAACAAACAGAGTGAGCTCTTAAACTCATGGTGTGGCTGGGCCCCCTGTGGACATCATTTCCCCTCAGTGTTTTCCTATCACCTAGAAGATTTTGACTTGTGAAGCTGCCATCTGTTAACACTAAAATTCCAAATAGGATTCTGGTTGGAGTTTCCCCTTTTATGCTTTGTACTTACTTAGTAATAAACACTAATTCTTATAGAATCCTAACCTGATAGCACAAACATCTTTATAGATTTTTAAAAATACTTTTTCTATTATCTATTACCCACATATTAAAAAAAATGCTAAGACAGTGTTCGGTGTCAGATGATAAATTGAGTCTAAACTGATCAATACTGACCATCACATTATGTTCTTACGAATCTGTTGCTGGGGCACCTGGGTGGCTCAGTCAGTTGATCATCCATCTCTTGATTTCAGTTCAGGTCATGATCTCATGGTTTGTGCGATCGAGCCCTGTGTCAAGATTCCCCTATTTGGGATTCTCTCTCTCCCTCTCTCTCTGCCCTTCTTCTCATACACACACTCTCTCTCAAAATAAATAAGATAGACTTAAAAAAAAAAAAAGAATCTGTAGAAAGTAATCAGCAACTAAGCCAGACTCTCATTCTTGTGCAGGGTGTGAGTTGCAATAATATTGTATATATCACTCAAGGGTCTGGGCAAAGGGTTTCCTTCCTTCCTTCCTCCCTCCCTCCCTCCCTCCCTTCCTTCCTTCCTTCCTTCCCTTTTTTGAGAGAGAGAATGAGAGAGGGAAGTGGGGCTCATCCAAAGCAGGGCTTGAGCTCACCCAAACAAAGGGTTCTTTAATGTGATCCTCAGCCAGATGACCTCAGGTCTAGGATAGCTGGCGCTTTTCACCTCTTCCTGGTCACCTGTCCACATAACAGAGGTTGTTTCTCCCAGTCTTTGCAGCACCCCCTGGTCTAGTTATGCATCAGAATCTACTGTTAGACATTCATTTTGCTATGCCCCACCTGAGATCTGCTGGAATTGGAATCTGTCACAGTGGAGGCTGGGCTTTTGTATGTTGATCAAGCAACCCTGATGATTCTTTCATGGCCAGCCTGGCAAGACCACACCCTGCACGGAGCAGCAGCACTGTTTGTCTTCCTGCTCCAAGACAGATGTCTTTTCAGCATATGCCAAGTATCCATGTTGCGTACTTTTGACATTGGTACTGTCCTCAAGTTGGAAGGAATAGGAAAAAGGTCTGTATCTGTCTGGAACTCCAGGGATCTCGGAGTTTTCCCACTCCCCCTTTGGACATGGTCCTCACTCCATAAAGTGTGCCCGATGTCAGATGGAAATTCTCACACTTGATTCTGCCGAGAAGCTCTCAGGCTGTGGTAGCACTGGTGACATGGGAGTAGCTACCCTTGCCAGCTGGATCTGGCAAAGTTCAATGACATGTGGCTCTAATGGAGTGAATTTATTCTAACATCCAAACCTAACCCACTCTAGGCACTCCTTAAGAGCCTAGGATCTCCCAAGCAAATGCTACTTGCCTCTACAAACCTTCCAAAACTGTGAAAGAGTGAAAATTCTCTAGCACTGGAAATAAGTCCAGAGCAGTAGGTTATGGTGCAAACAGAGTGAAGATCATTGGCGGGGAGCAGGGGAAGACAGCAATAGACTCAACCACCTCTGGTTTCCCCTTTGAAATTCCAGCCTCCACCTGAATTGTCTTAAAGTTAACAACTTCCTTAGGAACCACTTCTGTGGGATGCTGGAGTACAGAGCTGATTGCTTTTCCTTCTCCCAAGGAATCGTTATGTTCTCATGAGTGCATGGGCTCCAGAACCATGCTGCCTGGGTAACCCTACCAGCTGGGTGACCGTTAACATCTCCATGCCTCAGTTCCCTCAACTGTAGGGTAGGTGGAATAATGGTGGCAGTGACTTCTGGCAACCCTTGGGAGGGCTGATGAGTTAATATATGAAACACGCTTAGCAAGCATCTGTCATGTAAGCAAGCACTCACTAAGGGGTAGTTGTGAATATCTTGATAACGACACTGGTTTTAGCTTTCTCAAGGACTATCTTCCATCATTTCTGGTAACATCCTTATTAAGGTGATGCTCAACAGCAGATCCAGAGCCCTTTATGGCGTTTCTGATCATAATGATACAATTAGATTTATAACTCTCTGATAGTCTAGTTTATGTATATCAGTTGTTTTCAACCCAAGGCAATTTTGTTTCCCAGGGGACATTGGGTGATTTCTAGAGACATTTTTGGTTGTCAGAACCGGTGGGGTGGGGTGTTACTGGCATCTAGTGGGGAGTGGCCAGGATGCTACTAAACATCCTATCATGTACAGGAGAGCCCCCACTCCCACCCCCAACAAAAAATTCTCTGGTCCAAAATGTCAGTAGTACAGGTGTTGAGAAACTTTATTCTACATTCATCAGATGGTGAATATATACAGTATGAAGAGCCAATGACTCAAACAGATTTCTCTTCTATCCTCACTTGGTCACATTCAGTCTTGATCAAATAGTACACCCCCAGGCCAAGCATCCTGACTGGGCAGATGTCGCAACCAGGGCTCTCCTGGCACTCACTCAAATCATCTTAAAGGGAGTAAGTAGTGCAAGAGACATTATAAAAATACAGAACAGCATCACAGGGGTCTGACGAGAGGAAGTGAGCACAGGCAGGCTTCCTGAGATCAGTCATGCACTGACCAGTCTATGCCTTAACTGGTCTTGACTTCTATCCACTCTAATTCAGTCAGCTGTGGCTAGAAGAGAAGACTTCAAAGAGGCAAAACAGTCATTTAGGTCCTCGAGGAGGATGGGCAGGACAAAGGAAGCAAGGAGCAGACACTGCACTTTGACAAACGAGCTGTCTAAAATGTCTGGGAACAGAAGAATCACTCATGAATGTCAAAAAGTTCCACAGGCACTATGGTAGTTAAACCATGGTCCTCCAACCTTTTCTCCATTATCACCTCCCACTGTTGGCAAGCCTATGGCAGACATTTTTGTTCCAATCGTCCTCTACCATGAATGTCAATACCACAAATTTACTGCGTATTTTTATGTAGTTTTTATGGCCCTCCAAATGGTCACAAATCACTGTAATACCTACATATTTTGCCCCCCACAAACCACGTTTTAACCCATTGGTGGCAATGGCAGCTCCACTGAGAATGCATGATCTAGACCACTGTTCCAGACACTTAGCTCCATTCCCAGCTACTATTTTCCTCACCATGTCTTCTCATTTGTCATCCCCCCAAACCATGTTCCTTGCTCTCACCAGTAAGACTTGTACCTTGCTCAACCATAATTAAATGTGATTATACAAAATAACACATGAGAGCAACTTATAAACTGTCAGGACATATAAAAATGTTGTCTAGTAGTAGTAGTATACTAATAATACAAGTAACTCATTGCCCCCCTCCCACCAGGACTCATTCTAACCGTTGGCCTTGGCCCTGTTTGCCTTGTCACATTTCAAGGTGGTTTCTTATGGTCCTGGTAGAATAATAAGGAAGCTAGTTTATTGTTTGTTTTTTAAGTTTATGACAAGAATTGAGAACATGTGGAACACAGGCATATAGTTGCTATTTGTAAAGAATGAGGTATGTAAGGAAGTAAGCTATTATTCCACCCAAATCAAACAGGCTTAAATGGCTAACGACAGTGTAAACAAACACATTGGATGAAAGGAATAAAGGCTCCTGTACTTTCAGGTAGGGTAAGGTGAACAGAGGGGACTCCTGATTACCTGATCCATCATAATAAACCAAACTACGAGACCTTAAGAGATACACACATACACAGAGCATTCTAGAAGCAAATAAGCTTGACAAAGTTGACAATATGAAATTTAACCAGATTTTTAAATGCAAGACCCTCAGAACTTCAAATATGTTCATGGGCGTATTAAGAATAAAAAAGAGTAGATAGTGATTCTCCCAAACTTCTTTGAACAAGGAAGTTTTTTTCCTCTATACACCTATTAACATCTGTCAGGAGACTGTTTCAAGAAAGGCCAGTCTGAAAAATACTGAGTTGTCTTCAGCAATCCCAATCCTGGAGAGCTCCAACATGCTGGGTTCTCTTTGCTTCCTCCCAACCCCCAGTGGGCAAGTGCTAAATGGAGGACATCACATGAGGGCAGTTAATTCACTGGGGTTTTATGTTTGCCCACATCAATTTATGATCACTTCAACACTCACCTGCAACCCTTTCCCCCTCAGTACAACAACTTTCCCCCATCGTCTTCTGGCTTCATACCTTCCCCTTCTTCCCAGAGAAGAGAAAAGCCATCTGATAATGGACTTCTCAAATCTTCACTACAAACATCTAAGGTTCCCATAACATTCTGTCTTCCTTCTTTAAAGTTGTTTTTTTTTTTTTTTTTTTTTGAGAGAGAGAGAGACAGCATGAATGGGAGAGGGGCAGAGAAGAGAGAGGGAGAGAGACAATCCCAAGCAGGTTTCGCGCAGCCACTGCAGAACCTGACATAGGGCTTGGACCCATGAAGCCACAGGAGCATGACCTGAGTCGAAACCAAGAGTCGGATGCTTAACTGACTGAGCCACCCAGACGCCCCTTCTGTCTTCCTTCTTCTATTGTGTTACCAGATAGAGGTTGTTCTGTCTCCTGTTGAGTCAGCCTCCTAGTGGCCAGCCTCCCCACTATCAGAGCTTTGGATTCTATCCCCTTACCTTTTCAAGAACTGTATACTTTTAGTATTCGCTCTCTCTAAACTTCTCTTCGATTGAATCCTTCTCTTTGGCTTTTTAACTTACTCAGTATACTCCCATATTGAAAAAACTCTCCCTTGTTCCCATATCATTATCCAACTACAGATCTTCCACTTAAAATGGGGTTAAATCCACCCCAGGTCAAAAATACTGGAAGTCAAAAATGCATTTAATACCCTTAATGAACTGAATACCATACCTTGGCCCAGCCTACCTTAAATAATCTCAGAACACTTACATTAACCTACAGCTGGGCAAAATTATCTCCCACAAAACCTATATTGTAATAAAGTGCTAAATATCTCATGTAATTCATTGAATACTGAATTGAAAGCAAGAAACACAGTGATTGTATGGGTAGAGATGGTTGTAAGTGTATCAGTTTTTTACCCTTGTGATGGTGTGGCTGACCAGGAGCTGTGGCTCACTGCCCCTATCCAGCATCATGACAGAACTGGACCACATATTATTAGCCTGGGATAAGATAAAAAT